ACAGAGATAGACACACACACAGTCATGTTCACTCACACTCACACAGACATAGACACACACACAGTCAGGTTCACTCACACTCACACAGAGATAGACACACAGTCACGTTCACTCACACTCACACAGAGATAGATACACACAGACAGTCATGTTCACTCACACTCACACAGAGAGTGAAGGGCACAAATATCCTGGGAGGGAGGTTTGCTAGAGCTGTACGGGATGGTTTAAACTAGTTTGGCAGGGGATGGGGAACCGGATTTATAATTCAGAGGATAAGGTATTCGGCCTTCCAACAGACACAACAGGGAGTGAGGTGGTTTATAAAGAAATGCGATCGATGGAGCGTAATTGCGGACACCGAGCTGGTTTGAGGTGTGTATACTTCAATGCTAGAAGTATCAGAAATAAAGCGAATGAACTTAGAGCATGGGTCAGTACTTGGAACTACGATGTTGTGCCATTACAGAAACTTGGGTAACTCAGGGAGAGGAATGGTTGTTGGAAGTTCTGGGATTTAGATGCTTTAAAAGAAATAGGGAGGGTGAAAAAAGAGGTGGGTGAGTGGCATTGCTAGTCAGGGCGAGTATAGCAGCTACTGAAAGGCAGTACGAGAATGATATGTCTACAGAGTCAGTTTGGGTTGAGGTCAGGAACAAGAAAGAAGCAGTCACTTTGTTGGGGGTTTTTTACAGACCCCCTAATAGTTGCAGAGAAGTAGACGACCAGATTGGGAGGCAGATACTGGAAAGGTGCAGAAATCACAGGGTTGTAGTCATGGGTGACTTCAACTTTCCAAATATTGATTGGAAACATTTTAGTTGTAATAGTTTAGATGGAGCAGATTTTGTCCAGTGTGTTCAGGAAGGATTCCTGAAACAGTATGTAGATAGACCAACACGAGGAGAGGCCACTTTGGATTTGGTGCTTGGCAACGAACCGGGCCAAGTGTTAGACCTGTTGGTAGGAGAGCATTTTGGCAGTAGCGATCATAACTCTGTTTCTTTCACGATAGTCATGGATAAGGATACATACATACGGCAGGGTAAAGTTTACAATTGGGGGAAGGGTAATTACAATTCAGTTAGGCAAGAACTGGGTAACATAAATTGGGAACAGATGCTGTCAGGAAGAGCACTATTGAAATGTGGAGATTGTTTAAGGAATGCATACTGCATGTGCTCGATATGATTGTCCCTAGCAGGCAGGAAGGATGCAGTCGAGTGAGGGAGCCATGGTTCTCGAGAGAGGTCAAACGACTGGTTAAGAGGAAGAAGGAGGCTTATGTAAGGTTTAGGAAAAGAGGAACGGAAAAGGCTCTAGAGGGATACAAGTTAGCCAGGAAGGAGCTGAAGAAAGGGCTTAGGAGAGCTATAAGGGGGCATGAGAAAACCTTGGCGGATAGGATCAAGGAAAACTCCAAGGCTTTTTACACGTATGTGCAGAACAAGAGAATGACCAGAGAAAGGGTAGGGCCGATCAAGGATTGTAAAGGGAATTTGTGCACAGAGCCTAAAGAGATAGGAGAGGTCCTTAATGAATACTTTTCTTCAGTATTCACTCCTGAGAGGGACCTAGTTGTAGAGGAGGACGTTGTGAAACAGGCAGGTAGGCTAGAGGAGGTTGATGTTAGTAAAGAAGATGTGCTAGGAATTCTGAGGAAGTTGAAGATAGATAAGTCCCCCGGGCCTGATGGGATTTATCCAAGGATTCTATGGGAAGCGAGGGACGAGATCGCAGGGCCTTTGGCGATGATCTTTTCGTCCTCACTGTCCACGGGTATAGTGCCAGAAGATTGGAAAGAGGCAAACGTCATTCCCTTTTTCAAAAAAGGGAACAGGGATAACCCCGGAAATTACAGGCCAGTTAGTCTTACGTCAGTGGTGGGCAAATTATTGGAAAGGGCTCTGAGAGACAGGATTTATGATCACTTGGAAAGGTACAGTTTGATTCGTGATAGTCAGCATGGATTTGTGAGGGGTAGATCATGCCTCACAAACCTTATAGAATTCTTTGAAGAGGTGACCAAACACGTGGATGAAGGTAGAGCAGTGGATGTGGTATACATGGATTTAAGTAAGGCATTTGATAAGGTTCCCCATGGTAGGCTCATGCAGAAGGTAAGGAGGCAAGGGATAGGGGGAAATGTGGCAGATTGGATTCAGAATTGGCTGACCCTTAGAAGACAAAGGGTGGTAGTGGACAGAAAATATTCAACATGGTGCTCAGTTACGAGTGGTGTACCACAAAGATCTGTTCTGGGTCCTCTTCTATTTGTGATTTTTGTAAATGATTTGGATGAAGGAGTGGAAGGGTGGATTAGCAAGTTCGCGGACGATACGAAGGTGGGTCATGTTGTGGACAGTGCGGAGGGCTGTTCGAGGTTACAAAGGGACATTGATAGAATGCAGAGCTGGGCTGAGAAGTGGCAGATGGAGTTTAACCCTGAAAAGTGTGAGGTGATTCTTTTGGAAGGACAAACTTGAAAGCAGAATACAGGGTTAACGGAAAGATTCTTGGCAGTGTGGAGGAGCAGAGGGATCTTGGGGTTCATGTCCACAGTTCCCTGAAAGCTGTCACCCAGGTGGATAGAGTTGTTAAGAAGGCGTATGGTGTGTTAGCTTTCATTAATAGAGGGATTGAGTTCAAGAGCCGTGAAGTTATGGTCCAGCTATACAAAAGCCTGGTTCAGCCACATCTGGAGTATTGTGTCCAGTTCTGGTCACCTCATTACTGGAAAGATGTAGAAGCGTTAGAAAAGGTGCAGAGGAGATTTACCAGGATGTTGCCTGGAATGGAGGGAAGGTCTTACGAGGAAAGGTTGAGAGAGCTAGGGCTTTTCTCTTTAGAAAGACGAAGGATGAGAGCTGACTTGATAGAGGTGTACAAAATGATCAGAGGTATAGATACAGTAGACAGCCAGAGACTTTTTCCTAGGGTGGAGGTAGCTTTTACGAGGGGACATAGTTTTAAAGTGAAAGGAGGTAGATTTCGGGGAGATGTCAGAGGTAGGTTCCTTACTCAGAGAGTGGTAAGGGCGTGGAATGCATTGCCGGAGAGGGTAGTGGAGTCAGCCTTATTAGGGGCATTTAAGGGGCTATTAGATAGGCATATGGATGATAGTATAAGGTAGTGGTGTAGGTTAGATTAACCTTAGGTTTAGGGTAAAAGTTCGGCACAACATCGTGGGTTGAAGGGCCTGTACTGTTCTATGTTCTAGAGATAGATACACACAGACATGTTCACTCATACTCACACAGAGGTAGATACAAACACACATGTTCACACTCTCATACAGACAGATACACACATAGACATGTTCACAGTCACACAGGGACAGATACATACAGACATGTTCACACGCACACAGAGATAGACACGCACACAGACATGTTGACACTCACACAGAAATGGAGATACAAACTGAGACATGTTCACACTCACACAGAGATAGATACACACACAGACAATGTTCACTCACACACACATAGATATACAGACAGACATGTTCACACTCACAGTGATAGATACACACAGAGACATGTTCACTCACTCATACAGAGATATTTACACAGACATGTTCACATACACAGATAGACACACAGACATGTTCACTCACTCACACTCAGAGATAGATACAAATACACACATTCACACTCATACAGAGACAGATACTCACACAGACATGTTCACACACACAGAGATAAATGCACACACAGACATGTTCACACTGACATGCTATCACGTATATAAACACAGACATGCTGGAAAGACTCAGCAAGTCTGGCAGCATCTGTGGAGAAAGAAACAGAGTTAATGTTTCAAGCCTGATATGACTTGTCTTTGAAACTGTTCCACAATATCAGACTCAAAGAATTAACTCTGTTTCTGTCTCTACAGATGCTGCCAGTCCTGCTGAGTTTCTCCAGCATTTTCTGGTTTTACTGCGCTGCCCCCCACAACGCAGACCTCACAAATGCATATCATCACATACCCCCCCATCCCCCATATACACAACAGACCACATTACACACACTGACACACCACATATACTACAACATCCCTCAACAATGACACCCAAACATATATATTTCTTGGATTTTTATTCCTTTTGCTGGTGTATGTTCTTTTGTAGCATGTGGAGCCAGCTCCTAAACCTCCCGGCAATTGCTGTGCCATTGTATTGTAGGGAATAATTCAGTTCTAAATGCAGATTATCAGCTGGGAATGGGAAAGACTGAGAAATGGAGAGGTAGCCCAAAAGCAGGCTACTGCTGTGCCAAACAGAATAGTGTCTAACTGGATCACATCGGGCCGACAGTCCCAGAGCGAGTTATGGGCTGTACTGTGGTAACCGATGTGATGGGGATTGGACAGTACACCTCCAGCTGCTGATCCAGATGCTAGGAGGACAGCTCCAGCAATGCTATTCAGTCTGATTGCCAATATTGAAAGGAGCAGAGGAGAGTTTGTTTCTTTCAGACAGCTGTGAGTCAGTGGGATGGATCACTGAACACATTCGAGGGTGAGTCAGACAGATTTGTGATCACTGAGGGGGTCGAGGGTCATGGGGGTAGCAGGAGACCGGAGTTAAGACCAGATCCGGATCAGCCATGATCTGTTAAACAGTGAAGCAGGCTCAATGGGCCGAATGGCCTATTCCTGACCCTTAGTCCTTTGTGATGTAACGTCAAGAAATAACATGTACCAATACCAATAATTGTAACCCTATTTTAATCTTTGAGGGCACTAATACCTGCTTAGAGCAGGATTTGTCAAGTGCCCACCTTCTCACTATCTTGCCCAGCCTGTCATTATTCACATGTGTCTGCTATTTGGTTGTGAAGGCATCACAGCCTAATCTCAGAAGTCATACCCGTTTACCAGAACCGGTTGTTGTTTCCACCTTGTTAGGACAGGGGACACTGAGACCATTTGTAACACATACCCTAAGATTGAAGTGGGGATCCTTATCATTTTGGGGATATTTGGTCTGGTGTGTCACTGAGTAATGGAAAAATTCACATTTCTACTGTGATGCTATTTGCTGGAGGTGATCTCCTGGATGCTGGACAACATGCTGTAGAGGCTCAAAATGGTTGACTCACCAGGCACTGGTTACAGCTGCGCCCAGTCACAAGCCTCTTACAGAAGCAATCTCCACTGACAGGGTCACAGGGCAGTCCATCTGCTACCGTCCCAAAGGGATCGCACCAACAGCCTGCAGGAGACAAAGAAGATGTCACCGTACTGGTGAGCTATATCACCAAACCTTTCCCTCAGAAATCAGATTGACCTGATTAATCACAATATCAGTACCATCTGTATCCCACCAGATAGGTTGGAGGGTTTGATCCTCAAAGGGAGGGTAAGGAGGGGTTGAATTTAATGGGGTTCCATACCCTGTACAAGGCAGTGGGGGAATCAATCACAGTCACTAAATGCTTGAGCAGGTATCTCCTGTTCCAAGCACATTCAAAAAGTGCATTTTCCTTTCTATGCAATTGCTGCACACGCTCAGTCTTTGTTTTAAAACTAACCAGTGCTTCACTCCCACCCCCTCACCCAAACCCCACCCCCTCAACCAGCCCCCACCCCCTCACCCAAACCCCACCCCTTCACCTAAACCCCACCCCCTCATCCAAACCCCATGCCTTCACCCAAACCCCACCCCCTCATCCAAACCACACCCCCTCACCCA